TGAAACCAAGATCAGTGTTCCCACCATGATATGAAAGGTTCTCAAAACCTTCCTATCTATTCCCAGACTGGCCGTCTGTTCCCAGTAGCAGCCAAGGACAGAACGGTCCGAGAATCTTGTTGTTTATATAAAAGGTGGCTGAGAACCTAATTATTTACAAGATCAAGCCTGGGAAAGGCTGCCTTTACAGCAGGCTTCTATATTTCCCTCAGCTGAATACCTTCATGGCCTCTTTCTTTAAGCCATGCTTAAACCAGGCTCTCCACATAAAACAACCACCATTTTTAGTGTGTCTTACATCCAGCACCACGAACTGTGATTTGCTTGTTTTGTAGCAGTTTTCCTGTGAGCAAACTGCCCTGGAAATGAGCTGTCTTTCCTCCTAGCCATGTCTTTCCTCGGTGGCAGTGGAGAAGGACAGAGGTGCACACAGACAAGGCATTCTGTAATTGCTGCACCAGAACAAACTCCCCGTGTTTGCTTCCCTGCCCCAGCAGCCTCTGTCCTGAGCACGCTGCAGAACAGCAGGCAGGTCACAGATACCAATCCTGCACTCCCGAGAAAAGGGAAGCGTGGAAGGTGTGGAAATGAAAAACCTGCTTGAGAGAAGCCACCTTGAGGCGCCTCAGGGCTCTGCCTCCCCTCTGTCCCTGCTGCCAAAGCACTCAGGGATCTTCCCACACCCACCTTGTTCCTCCCTTCTCCACCAGCCCTCCTTGAAACCCTACAGCCTCCCACCAAGAGAGACAAGGGACACAGAGCACCCAATCCCACTGAACTGGCTCCAGGAATCAATCATGGGCACTGCTATCTGGACAGCTGAAAGTTACAGACTTTGGAACAACCACAGAGTCGACATCGGGCCGTACGGAGCCTCCTGCCTCATCCTGTTTCACTGCAGACATTTTCCCCTGCTTCCTCTGCATCATGTCCCCTTGAAGAGAAAACTAACATGGCTTGGGTGAAGGAGACAGCTAAATTCAGGGGAAAAATAAAAAAGGGAAAATAGCCCATCTGAGCCTGTGGCACCAGATTCAAATGATGAGAAGAGGCACAATGAAAAATGAACAAGTAAATGCATACAAAACTTCTCACAGCCTGCCCACAGGCAATCTGAAGTCTAATTATTTTCCTTTGCATTGCATCAGCCTCTATATGCATTATTTACAAAAGCATCACAGTACCCACTTCTCACTGCATGAAGTTTTTAAGTTTATGGCTGTAGAGCATTTGATAGTAAATGAACCAGTCCTGTATGTTTAAAATCTCATTTAGTCCAAGATATGCATAGGACATAGGATTGCATCTCACTTCCTCAGGCTAACTTAGAAATCTCGGGGATATAAGTAACAAAAAAAAACCAAAAGCAAACAAAATGGAAGAGATGTAGTCTTAAGCAGGAGCAGACAACAGTTTAACCAACTGATCATCTGAATCAGAAAACTGTGTTTTCTTTAGTGTATTAACACATCATGTATTTTTAAATTTTTAATATGCAAATATATAAATGATTCACCACTGTGCAAGAGAGATTTCATTGCCCAGTGTGTTCAAATCCAAATGCTCCTGCATCTCCAACCTCAGTAAAGCAGCTGCAATTTGTCCAGTGTGCTGGACTTGCTCAGAAAAGAAATGTTATTTAAGCACTGACTCTGGTTCTAATTAGTGAATCTATCTTTCCTGCAATTATTCCAAGAGAGCAGCCTGCCCTCTTTTCTCCTGTGCTACAAGGAAGGCACAGACACAGAGATACGATGGAAAGTCAATGCAGCACTCCAGCCTAACTGGCTTCTATTGTTAACCATTTCTTACTTTGCCACATCATATGCAAACAATCTAAACCAAATTTAAAAATTACTTCTTCCCTCTAAAACAGCCCTGTCTAACCAGGAGTGAGGTGATCATAAGAAAACCAAAACTGGGGAACCAGTAGCACAAAGCCAGCAGTCAGTCACAACGTCTGGAAAGGTTCAGTAAATGAATGTTTTTGTTTCACACAATACTGTAGAGAGATTCAGAGTCATGGCATTGATAAATCTCCTACAAAGAGCCCCAGTTTTGTTCAGTAATACGTTAAATTTTAAAAAAAAATGCTCAGACCCCTGAAATTCATCACTGCTTTGTTGTTTAGCTGTGAGCTTGGAGAGCCCTCAAAGAAGCTGCAGAACCATCATTCCTTTCCATATTGAGGAAACAATAACACCTTGAGATTTTTCATGATAAAAAGAAGAAACATCTGATAATCTCAGTCTGAGCTTTTGTATCAATGGACCAAAAAAACCCCTAAGCTTGAGTGATTTGCTATCAAAGCTCTGCACATGTGGATTATCAGAATAATGAATTAGTTCTTTGAAGGAGGAAAGTAGTCTCCACCAATATCTGCAGTTCACACAAAGCTCCACACATGTGGATTATCAGAATAGTGAACTAGTTCTTTGAAGGAGGAAGGTAGTCTCCACCAATATCTGCAGTTCACCCAGCTACTTTACTGCACTTCAGGCTGTTTTATTTTTTCTTCATGGTTTAGCACTTCCATCTTATTCCAACCTCTTTTTAGACTGGTGTACTATGTCTATACTCTACAGACATAAACTATATGTTTTTCCACACTAAATCAGTAATGTCATGTGAGACCAGCTGAGATTAAAGATAATCCCATTTCCAAGCACTGCCAATCCAAGAGGCCCACTACAGACATTTCCCCAGGCTGCTGTCCCAGTCCTTCCAGGACATATTTCTGTGTCTTCCTTATATCTGGTTGTCCATGACAAGAATGGAAAATGAATGGATAATCAGCAATTTCCAGCTGTGGATTGTTCCAGCTAAACCCAGTCAATGGACATGAAGACTTTTAAAACTTGAAAACTACCTTCTCATTGTTAAGTTTTGACTGCACTGCTTCAATAAGGAGAAAAAAAGGAGGGGAAAAAAAATTGTTCTTTATCCCAAATAATACATCTGAGGTTTGACAGGTCAATAGACTGGGAAGGCAGCTCCTGCTCCCTGAGCATTCCCATCCCACAGCTCAGGGGGATTGGAATCACCATGGGTACAAATCACACTGCTGGATTCTGCACCAGCTGCAGCTCCCCTGGGCACTGCAGCACCCAGCCTGTCCCTGCACAGACAGATGTTACTGAACCCAGTGCTGTAGCCAGGAAAAACACAGGCACAAGAAACGCCACAATTTCATGCTGCTATAGAAATAGGGGACAAAAGCATTTGTTTTTCATCCCAGCTTAAACCTGGGCTTTAGCATTCAGCTTTCAGTCAGAGTGGCTGCCAAGTTGTGCAGAGCTGCTGATTCAAAGACCATAATGAAGCTCAAACTCTTCCAAGTGCATTCATGCACTGTTCATCTGGGCAAGGCTCCAGATGATAAATTCCGTAAGCATTGTGCCGTCCTTTCCAGTGGAAGAAAGATCTCACCAAGCAAAGCAAGTGAAAACCACCTGGGGGTGACTCTGGCAGTAGATGTCCCTCAGCTCTGTCAGTTCTGCCACGGGAACGCTGCTGTACAGAGTGTGAGAGCTGCCAGCCTCGGGCTCTGCCAGCCTCGGGCTCTGCCAGCCTCAGCTGGGAGCTGCACCCACACCCGGGCCCTGAACCCCAGCTCCACACAGCCTGGGACCCTCAGTGCCCCTCCAATCCATGCCACAGGGCTGCCAGGCTCCTGGGACCCTCAGTGCCTCTCCAAGCCATGCCACAGTGGTGCCAGGCTCCTGGGACCCTCAGTGCCTCTCCAA